GGACTCAATTATTATGTTATTAAAGTACCAAAAAAACTACACAAGAAACGAAAAAATCAACAACAAAGCATTAAATCAACGGCAACGAAGCGAAATTTGAAGAATTACTCCAATGCAATTACGCAATGCTCGAAAACAAAAGAAAATGACCGGCATGCTACGTGTATGCACTCATATTGACGCGAGATACACGATAGCCGATTTGATTTATCGATTTTATGGGGTAAATCTGTACGGATAAATAGTTCTTTTTACGCATCAAGCAATTGGGGTAATTTATTTTGATCTTTATCATTTCATTATCTTCATACTACTGTACTGTAATTTTTATTAAAAATTACAAATGCAACAAATTATATTGTTTGTTATTGGTACATTATGACAAATTTGCTATTTCTATTTGTAATCTGGTTGAGGGATTAGTTACAAATAGTATGCGTGGAACGTAAAAATGTGTAGTGTCACAGGACTCATCCTATGTGAAATGGACTATAATTACGGTATTCTCGTGTTATACTGAAATAGTCTTTGTCAAATGCAGTACTTACATATTGATATTTTTATACTATTAGGATTGGTGTCTCGAATACGGGCTGAGCTCAACAATTCTGACAACAACAAACATGTCTACTATATGTCGCATACAAAACCAAATGCTGTCGTAACATAAAATTGTGGAAGTGAGAAAACACGATTTGAGAATTAAAAAAACTGAATGAAAGCAGTACATGTATTTATATTCTCGTTTATAAATGGATAATTAAGTATTATGTATAAATAAAAATAATCACATTATTCCCAATTACGATCCATTCAGTATTTTTTTATTTGGTTTCATATGCGATGTCATTTTTAAAACACCGAGTGAACGCTTTAATTCTGTAAAGAAAAGCGCGTGTACCGACACGCGCTATGCAACGTGAGTGCACTGCCAGATTGTGCGAATGTTTTATGTCGCACTGCAACGTTGTACTGAGTCACATTACTTGTTTTATTATACTATGCTATCTCGCAGAATTTCAACTTGTTAATTTGTTTTGGGTGCTGGTAAAATTACAGGCACATGGGACTTGTCAATTCAGTGCCCACTCAGATCTTGTGTTTTAAAACTCAAGTGGTACTGTAACTCTGTCCATAAGGACAGGCGTGTCGCTTAACATCATAGAAAAAAAATGAGTACTAACGTCACTATTTCGAGTTTCAAATGCTATTATTAGTTAGCATATCTTTACAATGTTTGGCGACAAGCATCTCTTTGCTTGTCTAATAGCAAGTGTTTGGTCACAATGTCACCTGATCTCAAGTGATGAAAACTTTAGTAAATAGTGACCTATAGTGACCTAAACCACGACCCGAAATTTATGTAGCTGGTAAAATGTACCTGTAAATGATCACTGCACACTCCCATAGCTGTGATGAAAAAGTTAGTGTCTGTGGGTTCTTTGGCTTGCAAATTTTCTCTATTCTCGAGATCATTTAATACTGCAGTTAGAATATCTACGCGAGGTCCACCTAAAAGAGAGAAAAGCAAAACAATGTATATGCTCTGGAAGACAAAGTGTGACCACTAATTGTACACATTTTGGGTAGTAGCTAAAATGTACCTATTTTACAAAGAGCTTTACAGACCTAGACAATAACGTACCAGACTAGACTGTATTCGTACAATTCTTTTAACGCAGTGTGTGCGTCAAAAAAAAAATCCGTATCGCGGGTGCCATAAACACACAAATAGACAACCACAAATTACACCCAAACTCACGAGATAAATAAATGTCGGCCATGCAAATGTTTCTCCCGGCCCGGGAATTGAACTCGAGGCTTCTGCGTGGCCGTCCGGTTAACTGTTAAATGTTAACAGTTCGGCCACTGCGGCAGTTAAAGTATGTAAAGTGTGTTTTATTTTTCTTGTTAAGTTCTGTTCTCCAAGTAAAGTAAATAGACGAAAAACGTATAACCAAAAACGTATAACGAAAATGATGGGAATAAATTAACCTGCGTTTTTACGTTGTAAAAAAAATAATAATTTTAAAGGTTAATAATTTTATACACCACATTAATTTTCAGGTTAGTTTTCGGTCCCTCAATTCGGTGGCAATTATTTAAATATTCTGAAATATTATCACGAAGCATTATTTAAAATTCGAGTGTAAAAATCTGAAATATTATTTAATAATTCACAATAATATACTCGAATACTTAAATAATAAAAATTGCCACCGAAATTAGCTACAAAATAATAACCTGAAAAGTACGCGTATTATTTTAATCGTGCCTAATTTAGATTTTCCCTTGAATTTGAGTTACATTAAAATAGATAATAAATAAATCCTTTATTTGCATGAAAAAATAGGAGGTTCATTAAAGGAGCTAAACAGCCTGAAAAAAAAAAGAATTGTGTAAAAACTAGCTAACGTTTACTCGTTGGGGACGTCGAGTAGTGTCGAAACTATGTAAACGCTATACAGTTCCGATGCAACACACAAATATTATCTTTTCAAATAGTTTCTTATATCTCCCGATATATTGTGCCCTAACGTAATAATAAGCAAAAATACTTACGTTCCTTACAAAATAAGCACAATAAATAGTAATAGGCCGATAGCCCAGGTTGTATGCCCAGCTGTCTGAATTCGGCCACAATCTGCAGAGCAAAATCTTGCAACATTTTTCCTCCACCCCACGCCGATACGGAGCGCAGACAAGCTGTTAACGTCTCATCATTTGGTGTAAGACCCTGAAAAATGTATTATAACATTTTTATCGATCTTTGAAAACATCTAAAGTCCTTAAACCGATCCTCAAGTACACTCCATACAACGGTAGAAAGATATTTACCTACTACTACTACGTACAAGGCGCTGTCTGCACACGCGCAAATGTATGCGTGAAGTGATAGGGTTACCCGTCACTTTCTCGTACTACTTATTCTTTTGTTTTGACGTGCACAGAGACTGTAAGAACGGCGTAGTAAGCAAACGAATGTATATAGATAATTCACGTGATCATTACATACTAAAATACTGAAACAACAGTAAATGGGGACGTTTGAACCAGCTACGATTCAGATAGGTCCTTTTTCATTCTTATAGTAAAAAAAAAATTAAATCTGACGCATTGCATATTGATTTTTATGTGACGAAACGCCTGTTGCTAATTTATATTTATGTCTACCTGACTGAATCGCATTATATTGAAAATTCGAAACCTAATAAGCTTTTTTAGCGAAAGTAGCTCCTCCCTTTATACCATTTAGATGAAAATAAGCAGCTGTTCGTGGCACAGTTCACGACGATCATATAGTAAGGTACGGTCGTAATATATTCATTTAAACTGTTCAACATTAAAGTTGTTTTTAGAGATCGGCTTGCTGACAGCCTTGTTGCCGTTCCGTCAATGTGACCGTCAATATGACGGGCGTGGTGCGGTATCAAAAGCTTGGGAGGGGCGGAGAGTAACCTTTCTCGTTACTTTTTTATTCTCTGCACAATTTAAGATAGTGCGACACAAGAGTTGATAATTATATAAAAATTATGTCAAGTATTACGTTCGTATCAATCAATCCATTGTAAGCGCCTCGAAAATGGAACGAATTAACAGCGATTTCACTTCATAGTGTAACATTTAAAAACAAAAACGAGTCTGGTCTGTTGAGTTAGATCGCTATGGCGTGTTTTAGAGTTTCGATTAAGTCATCCATTGACAAAACAAATTATAGACATACAAAAGTTTAAGTAGCAGTAGAGCTCTATGTGTAGGAGATCGTCCTGGCCAGGACTGCCACCATACCCATTTCTGCCTCCAAGCAGTAATGTGAGCATTAATACGTTCCGGTTTTGAAGGTCAAGGATACTGGTGGAACTCTAAAGCTTACACAGAACTTGTCAACTTATGTCTCTATGTGTCGGATGCAGTGGAAGTCAGATCTTTACGATTAAAGCTCTAAGTGGCACTGCAGCTGTTATGAGCGGTAAAACCTATATTAAAAGATTAGCGCAACTACACTCATCAAAAGTGTCTAGGGATCAAGTGTCAAGCACGTTTTTGCTAATTACTGTAAATCTGGTTTTTTAATGGACTTTTTTTGATCAATTTCATTTTCAAATTATAAAATTGACTACTACAAACAATCCATCACTGTTAAAAAAATTCATTAAAAAAAACCTGATTTTCACTAATTAGCAAAAATATGCTTGACAATGGATCTCTAGACACTTTTGATGAGTGTAACCGAGTTAGTCTTTTAATATTAAATTAAAAATTATGATTTTCAGTAATTGGCATAAACGTGCTTGATCCATAGACACTTTTGATGTGAGTATTTCTTGGTTTAGACCTAATGATTGCCAGGTATTAAGCTAATTGCAGGAGGACTGATTTATAATGTCAGATATGTATTGTTTAGTGTTTGTTAAGACTATTATACTTGTATTACAAGATATGAAATTAACATACCTGTTCATTCATTTCGTTTAATAAACTCTTCAAGGCGTCAATTCGCAGGGCTGTTCCTTCTCGTAAGAAACCGACACATCCCAACAAAGCGTTATACACGTTAGTTGATAATGTTATGCCTTTTTCCAGCGCTTCTTGTGCCAGTGCATGTGCTCGTTCAGCCTAAAAGAAAAAAAACGAATGAATGCATGACTGAAATAGAATAAGTTTATTTGTCAGAATACAGTGTTTTTTTATAATTATACTTGTATTTTGTTATAATTATTAATACAAAGATCGAACACTCAGAAAAACACTCAGAAAAATTCCTTCGATCAAATCGGATTCGAACCGACGTCTTCTTGCATACCGTGTCAGACGCTATACCAACTAAGCCACGGAACAAACCAACGGACCTCACGAATTTTTCTATGTGCTTGCGTCGTGTCTTTGTACTTGGTCTTTTAGCGACTTTTTAGTCGTAGCCGCCATCTATGAGAAATCTATGACAGATTTATCACCCAGTTAGTACCTTTACAGCTACCAGTCCTGGCGAGAGAGGTCGCTATTCACTGTATTAATTAAATTTTTATTGAATTGATATTCAATTATTTTTTGTGAAATTACTCCACTAGTTTGTTATAATTATTAATACAAAGATAGATGGCTCATAGATGGCGCTACGACTAAAAAGTCGTTGAAAGACCAAGTACAAAGACACGACGCAAGCACATAGAAAAATTCGTGAGGTCCGTTGGTTCATTCCGTGGCTTAGTTGGTATAGCGTCTGACACGGTATGCAAGAAGACGTCGGTTCGAATCCGACCGGATCGAAGGAATTTTTTCTGAGTGTTCGATCTTTGTATTAATAATAATAACAAACTAGTGGAGTAATTTCACAAAAAATAATTGAATATCAATTCAATAAAAATTTAATTTATACTTGTATTTGTTAAGGTTATTATATTTCTTTCTCTTTTGCACATTGTTGTCCACTGATCTTTGTTTTAACCGCTTTGGGTTGGTTGGAGATAAATCCACCTTTACCCGTCTTCTCTATAATTTATATTCCTTTCTATGTTTTTTAATAGGAATTCCCTAGTATGAGACCATTGATGTGGTTTTCTGGGACATTATTATTATTATTGTAATTTGAAAGTAGGTCCTGGCAATTTAATTTCATTTGGTTAATTATAGAAAATCTTTATATGCTTGTTAAAGTATGTATTTTTATGGTCAATGATTCTTATACATAAATTACTTTATGGCAATGAGGTTGATATAAAAGTTTCATATGAATATACTTGAGTCTTACAATTTATTTCCAGACAAATTAAGGATAGAAGATTTTTCTATTGTTTCTAGTTATTTATAATTTTGAATGTTGCTTTTAATGTTGCATTAACTGAAGAAGAGATTTGTTAGTGGACTTTAGGATTAACGGCTTAGCGGTGGCAACCATTACTTGCGGAAAGTACGGGACGTGAGCGTGCCCACAGCTCTGGTATCTATTTGGAAAATAGAGAGGTGTTGTATGTGCACCCGGGGCAGCACACCCAAGGCACTAGCGTTTTGAAAACTGGATGAAGTCTGTGTTATGAGCTGATCTGGGGTCAGGACGTGACTGAAAAGGTCCCTGGGCGGGCTCGCTTGCACAGGTCATAGTGCCCTTCCCGTATAACCAAGATGTTTATAGGGAGGGTCACAGTAAACAAAACTTATGTATGAAGATATGGGACTGTTGGTTTTAAATAATTTCTGAGTCACTATGGTTCATGTTTGAGTGAAATAATGAATAATGTAAATACCTGGTAATATTTTGCCATGCCTTGGATTACAGCGCAGTACACTTCAGGAGTTTTAGGTTCTAATGAATTAAAGATCTGATCAGCGAGCCCTCCTAATCTGTAAGAAAACAAGGTTTGTTAAAAAATTTGGTTATAATTAAAAAAAATCATAACTTTAAAGTCTAAGAGCACATTAAAATGTCGGAATTGCCAAAAGACAACTTTTCAGGAGTGAGGTTGAAAGATTCCATGAAGGAAATTAATTAGTAACTTTCTTGTGTTTTATCTGCATTGTCGTGTTATAAAATTTCACATAATATATAATATTTTATTTGTTTTATGGCTTTAACTTTTTGCCAATGTTAAGTAAAAAGGATTTAATTTTTTTTTTATAACATCAAGTGTCACGGCAGGAACAAGTCGTGCGCCTCATGGTAAGCTAGTTACACGACTGTCCATAACAGTTCCAGTGCCACTGCGCCCGTTATCCTGAGATATAAGTTGACAAGTCTCATGTGCATGTGATTTCAAAACCGGAACACAGTAATGCTGCCATTACTGTTTGGCGACAGAAGTGCGTAAGGTGGTAGTACTACCCTGGACAAACTCTTTCACAAGGAGCTCTCCTGCTCATAAAAAGGTAAAGTGGTAAAAGGTAAGGAAAAGGTATTGTATAGGGTTTATGTAGTTCGTGTTATTTTTACGACGTGTAATATAAGCACTTCTGTAATATCGTCACATGTGGCATTATTTTTTGTTTACCTCCAAGTAGCAGCCTGTCTCTCTCTAGTATTAGCAGAAAACCATCTCTCTTCAAGCCACTCTGCAGAATCAGGTTCCTTTTCATTGTAAAAGCATAGTAGTTGTAAGAACTCAATCTTAAGTTTTTCATTTACTCCCTTTGTGCCTCCCAGAAGTTGGAACACCTTTATAGAGTCCTCTACGAGGGCATTCTTTAGAGTGTACTTTAGATCGTCTTCTGTAACCTGTAAATACCAAAATCAGAGATAAAGACCAAGCTATTTTCATAAAACATAAAAACAAAACTTAGTTTGAGTAATGTATGTTGTCTCTTTAATGTAGAATTCGATCACAATACAGAATGACAACTTTATTTATATTATTACGAAGATATTATTGAATGATTCTGATAATATTCTTGCGTACCTTACTTTCATCATTATAAATAGGCCTAGGAGTAAAAGCTGCAATGTGTGGGTCAGCATTAAAGTATGGAGTTTTCATTCGAAGTGGAGGGTCCCATATCCTTGTTGCAAATAGTTCTGCATGCTCGTCTCTGATCCATGCAGCAGCCTTGCGACCGGCTTCAGCAGATAACGCATACGATCTCTTGCGGAAGTTTGATAGGGGTATTAGATATGGATCATCATGATATCTGAAATTTAAATAATCACAGTTAGACTTAAAAAGCTTTTGAGTAGCTTCACAGGATACACAACTGATAAAAGTTTATTCCAACTGCTATTGTGGCGAAATGGTTACCATTCAGGTCTGCCACACTGAGGTCCCGGGTTCGATTCCTGGGCTGGGAGAAATAATTGTATGACCTACATTTATTTTTCTTGTGAATTTCTGTACCTGGGGTCACAGCCCCTTCTGCACCTCTCACACACTACGCTACTGTCTTACTGTCTTTTCCATGTTAGCATGTTTGCGCATTGCATCCAATTCATATTAATTCTGAATATGAGAGTATAAATATTTAGAAATCTCGAACCCACTTCGGATATCACTTGTGCATTAAGTACAATTCGAATCTGAGAAAAAACGAATATGGCATGTACTCGTACAGCTAAAATGGCACTTCAGACACCTGTGACATTCGGACCGTCATTTCTCAGATTTGGACGTAGTGCGCAAATATTCTTACTGTTCAGATCTTAGTCCAAAACTGAATATTATACTTCCACTAGTCCTATTGACTTGAAGTTTGGTATACTATTCGAAATATAGTAACAGAACAGTCTGCAGCACATTAATCAATTCCTCTACTACACACAGCAGAACTATTAAATAGATAAATGGTTTATTTATCACTAAACACACACATGCGATACGCATACACAAGCAAAAATAAATAAAAAAACTAATCCAAAAAAACAATAGTACAAAAAAGTTAACTACAATGAATACAATATAAGCATTAAAACAAGATATCATTATTTTTTAAATTTTAATAAACAAAAGATCAAATAACAACAAGTACAAACACAGAAATATGTAAGGCATTACAATAAAAGCTCAGAACGCATTGCATGTGTGGTGCTAAAACGGCCGTAGCTCAGTGTAACTGCTGCTCAATTAGAGCAACGTATACTGATATTCTGCTACGCCCGAGAAAAGCAGAAAACGGCGAAACCGCTGTGCGGCAGTGAGTGCGTGATAGGGTATATCAAAATAATTATGTACGGGCTAGTTGAATTGATCTTGACTGATCTTACAGATCAGACTTATTGCATTTTTGGAGTAGACAGTTTCGTAGCTTATAAATTTTAATTGATTTTTATTTATGTTGGTGACATATCGATATTTCATAATTTTAAGTGATAACCATTACCTTAGGAAATGAAACTATTTTTCCGGATTTAAATCGCGTATATTTGTTTTTTCAAAGAAACCAACATTTAGGTCCTTTTACAGGTCCCATAGTGACCATGGGAGCTGTAAAGGGCCTGACAAATACAAATAAAAACAAATATATGCGATTTAAAACCAGAAAAATAGTTTCATTTCCTATGTGTAACAATCACGAAAACCTAAGAACTCAATAACCATTACCTTTCTAAGCCAGACTTCTCGAAAATCAGTTATAGGTACTTTATATTTGGGATAGATGTAAATATATACTGACCTGTTTAGCTATCAGATGTTTGAAATAAATATTATAAATGATAAATGTATTCAAACGTATATTTACAAAGAGCAATCCCCAGAGTTTCTTGCTCATTCTTTTCAGGGGAATCTGCCTTACGAATGAGCAGTACAGTTTAACCAATATGACATTTTCATGTGTAATTTGCTTATATATGAAATAAAGATGATTTGTGTATGAATAAACTTACTTGTAATGGGCAGCTGTTGGGTCAGGCCCAACAGTAGCGGCTAGCGCTTGTAGGATGTCAGTAGGACTTCTGGGGATGCGTGGCGGCGGTGATATGCCATCAGATGCAGCGCTCTTCTGTGGCAGTTTCTGTCCTTCGATTGACGATGCTGTACGGCAAAGGCATGCGAATCGCGGCATCCGCCTTTGCAAAGATCGTCCATATATAATTATATTACAAATTATGAAAGAAAAACTAAGGTTTAAGTTCAAGCCCATTTTACAATAACAAACCATCAACTCACCGTGGCAAGAGCACGTTCGTATACATTTGCACGTAATCACGTATAAAAGGTTGCAAACGAAGGTCAGTTTTAGTTATTTTGCTCCTTTCACAACTTTATTATAATTTAAAAACACAGTTCGCAATTTCTAACCTTTAAAATTTACATACACATTATATCTGTTCTGTTCGCTAATGATGCTCACATAAGTGTAAACACAGCAGAGTAATAATTATGAAGTTGAAGAGTAAAAGAGAAAACAAATGCGCCTGTTTACTTTAATTTTAATAGAATTCAATGAAACGCGCTTTTGCGGAAATGTCAAACCGGCACAGAATTTTGCACAATTTGTTTTTTTTTTATTTATTAAGGCTTTGGCAAAGCCATCAGCCTAAACATGAAGTTTAATTATGTTTCTGTAAATATAGCGCCACAAAGAGGATAGGCAATTTGAGGAGACGTGTTTGGATTTACTGGGGATTCCTTAAAACGGGCCGGTACGGGTATTCTAGTTCGAGATTCGTATAATTTCGCGTTTTAATCTTCGATTAAGGCACAACAGCACTTTCCTATTCCACTTTAAACTAGATTTTACAAAATAATTGAAAGCCAAAATAAAAACGAAACTTTTCCCTCCAAAAGGTCGAGAGCGAATCTTGCACAATTTGTCCCTGATTGTCATTCCTTTTGTTTTGTTTTGTCGTAAATAGGACGGAGAAAAATAGTTTTGTCCAACACATTTTGTTTTGTACGAGTGGGTACTCGTATATAACTCGTATATGTATATAGGTTTTATTTAAAATTTGTTTTGGTTAATTTGTTTTAGTTATGGTTACGTTCGATCGCTTGGTACATCATTTGATTTGAATTTTTTTACAGATTGAGCTTCTCAGATTAGAAAACATTTTGATTAGCTTAGTATCCTTTTAATGAAAGATTATGTATGTTCAAACATTATAATAAAACCTATTATTATTATTTTATTTATTGAGCATTGACTTTATGGCCATCACCTTAAAAAGATAACTAGGAATTTAAAAAAATTCTAATTGTATGTATACTTTTGGTAATTTAAATTTATTTATAACGCGTTATTATTCTAAGTTTATAACTATTTATTTATTTATTTAAATTAAAAATTAACTCGTGTTCCTACATTAATTCCATTTATTAGGTATTCGTTATGGGACCATCAGCTTATAAAGATAACAAATAATTAAGAAACTCAAAAAGGTTTAAAAAAAATTGTAACTATAAAAACCCGCCATTGTTTTTGCATAGCCCTCAGATTTCGTTATACGAATACAAAAATACATTTTCTTTTATGTAGACTAAAAAAGATGAACAGCAGAATCTATAATATCTTTCTCTTTCTATGCTGCCAATCGCGCTACCGTGGGAAATGGAAGAAAGTTTCTTTTATTATATTTTTCGCTTAGAATAATAATGCATAGAAACTTAGCCCGCACACGCTAAGTGAGGCAAATTGAAGCGCGCCCAATGGGCCTACACGAGCGGGCGGGCCTTCAGTGCTCAAGGTCAACTTGCACCGCGAACAGCTCAAGAATTTTAGTTAAAAATGACGAAATGTGCGGTAAATGAGTGTAAAAATACGTCAGACAAACATAAAATAGATACTAACATCACATTCCACAAGGAAGTAGGTAACGCGTTTCAACTTGTATTTTTATATAAATATTCACTAAAACCGAAAATTAACCTACTACTAAAACTAGCCTACTTGAATTTGATTTTTGCCTCACTTGTGACAGTTCGTTTGATATGAAACTATCATTCTATGCGTTATTATTCTAAGATTGTTCGGACAAAAGAGGACTAATGAAATCACAATAAATGAAATAAATACATAATGTTATTTGTAAAACTTTATTCTTATTATTACCTATGCAGATTGATGTTGTATATACATACGTTACAAAGTTTTTGCACTGACTAAATATGTGGTTAAAACAGGTAAGAACAAAATTCGAAAACTAACACATAAAAGGGCACTGCTCGAAGGCACGAATGGAAATTCTTCGTTCGAAACTTCCGTTATTGAATCGCTGTTATTATAAATAAATAACATTTCAGTGGCTGTGTCGTTGGAGGTCGTTGTCGCCCAAATTATCTCACGAAGGCAGACAAATTCTATACTAGACACACAAAGTCCAATATCGGAACGGAAAATTTTACCTAGAGGACAATCAATTAATCTCGCAGTTACAACGTCAGACAAACCTTTTGCACATGCAATGTACGAAGTGCAATTTTCATTATCCGGGTAATCGAAATTCCCAACAGTCGTACAGTTATAATCTGGGAAACATTTATATCTTGTGGAGTTGCTGCATTGCTTGTCGAGGTGATTGAAAATGAATGTTGCGGGACATTGAAGGTTGTACTTGTAGAACAAATCAGTGCCAAGTGGCGTGCATGTGGTGAATCCTCTGCAGTCGGGCAGTTCGTCGTTCGGGAATTTTCCGGATTTAGTACAATTCGAAGCGTCACTGACGCTTCGGCATAAGCCCTAGAAATAATAATTTAATAATTATCAACAAGCTAGATATATGAACACTTTATTCAGTAATATACAATAATAAAGATTAATAATACAAATTATTTGTTGCGACAAATGGCCGGTTACTATTTGGTATTCGACGTATTCGGACTGTTTTTTGCAATTCGGCCGAATACCGAATGCCTAAAATCAGGAGGAAGAAATAAGTAAAAACGTGCGCATGTTACATAGATATCGTTGGTAAAAACATGATTTTTTGCTTATTTATCTAAGAGACCAAAGGAAATTACAACTAAGTTATTTTTCTAAGACACAAAAAAGGTGTCAAATCAAATGTAAACTACTTAGATAAGTATTACGTCGGTCCTTACGACTACATGAACGCCAATAAAATCAGCCGAGTACTTGTAAATGAAAATAAAATTAATTTTTTTTGAGAGTTAATCAAACTGAAGTGAAATAAACAATTACTTTCTTCCTTACGAAGAAGTACATTTAAATCTGAAGTTGTTAACCGACATATTTCGGGCCATTTTCGTTACTTACGTTAATTAGGCCGAATAGTCTGTCTGAGTATTGGGTATTTGGCTTGTGTTCGTTGCAGAACTAATCCAGATACAAAAGGAAACTTATAAACCTTTTTTATTACAACAGTGAAAGGGCAACTGACACAGCATAATTATGACTAAGTTCACTATTGCGCTGGTTTTCAGTTAACGAGAGGGACTAAGTTTGGAAGTTATTTGCAAGCACAAATAAAAGGAATAACTAGGTAATGTGTAAAATTATTCATTGAGAAATGACGTGTCAAAGAGTGCATTAAAATATTCCATTTTGATGCACTATTTACATTTCATGTTATATGTAAATCCATGGGAGGCTGTGAGTATAGGTGCCTATAGCTGTAAGCACAGACATATACCTAGATAGACGTCGCAAGTAGGTACAGCAATTTGTATGAAAACCAAGCGTGCCACATTTTTTGTACCCACTATGACGTCACAAGAACTATTTAGTGATGGAAACCTCCTTCCGCTTGCTCTAAATCGATTGATTGAACGGAATACGCGGAAATACGCGTATTCCATTCAATTAATCGATTCTAAATAGAATAATTTTTATTCAAGTATAGTTAAAGAATTTAAAATCAGAAATTAAATAATATCAATTCAATAACAATTTAAAAATACAGTGAATAGCGACATCTCTCGCCAGAGCTGGTAGCTGTAAAGGTATCTAATGGGTGATAAAACTTTCATAGATTTCTCATAGATGGCGCTACGACTAAAAGGTCGTTGAAAAACCAAATACAAAGACACGATAACAAGCACATAGAAAAATTCGTGAGGTCCGCTGGTTCGTTCTGTGGTTTAGTTGGTTTAGCGTCTGGCACGGTATGCTAGAAGACGTCGGTTCGAATCCGACCGGATCGAAGGATTTTTTTCTGTGTGTTCGATCTTTGTACTAATAATTATAACAAACTAGTGGAGTACCTAATTTCACAAAAAATAGTGGAATATCAATTCAATAAAAAAACTTTAATTTTAAAGTTTTTTAGTTGATAATTTCTTGGATAGGTATTGTAGGTAGGTAACATTGTAAGTTAGAGGGTAAATAGGGACAAGTATTTGAATTAACCTTAATATAGCAGTACCTATGTATGGGTAACGAAAGCACATCACATCACCAATAATTAATCAAATTCTTATCAAATTAATCAAAAATGTTGAGTGTGTGCGTTAAAAAAAAAATAGTGAAAAAACAAATGGCGGGTTTTATTACTTACATTTTTTACACGAATTAATTTGTAGTTTATGTATTACGTTATGCGTTTCTTGATTATTTGTTACCATTAAGCTGATGGCTCTGAAGCCAATGCTTTATAAATAAATAAATACCAGTAATTGTATAGTGAATAAATTTAATGCATACTTAACGTATGTATAAAGCTAGAGATAGGTTACTTTTGTTATTTGAAGTAATAATGATGAAATAGTTATTCAATTAGCATACATGATAGTTTTACATATAAAATTGATACATATAGGGTTGTCAGATCTTTAAACCTGTCGTCAAAAGAAACCAGACCAGTTTAGCCCGACATCTTTAAGGATTTTGTGTCGTAGTTTTAATACCACAATTTTTTTAATGTGAAATCAGATCATTTGGTCATTTATCGACAAATCGTCTTATATTGTAATGAAATACCTATAAATTGTATTCAATGAATTATTTTTCTTTATTATATGAATCATCTATTATTGCAATGGCTATCGATATCAAAATTAAACAAAACACAACAAAACTTGCTCATATATTAAAAATCCTTAACAACACATTTACTTTTCGCTTCTACTATTCGCTTCCAGATAACTTGCGTCTGTGGCCGAACGGTTACCATGCCGGACTGCTACGCAGAGGTGCCGGGAGAAATATTTGTATGACCTTTTCTCTCGTGAGTTGGACACCATCTAATTTGGCTGGATACGCTTCTAAAAAGTCTAACTATATCCGCCATTATCCGGACGCCTGGCGACGATTCATTTTTGCGTCCTTTTCCCACCAGGTAGGCATATACTACATCCTTTGACGATTATGACATATCTTGTGCCTCATTAACACGCATCAATCATCATTTACAGTAAATTAAAAGTGGTTACAGCATGACTATACTTTTCAACATTTACAATCAAAACATTACATTTTTGACATATTTTATTTTATTTCAAAATCGGGTTTTAATCGTGTATGAAACGTATTTTACTTAACTTGTGGACATGTTGCAACGTCCATGGTCTAATCCCTTCGAGAATGTGACCATGTTTCGTCGAGGTAAATAAAAGACGGTTACCTATTAGTAGTCCGAAATGGCATTTTCCAGAAATAACGTTTGCTCGAATTTTCATAACCTCGAAAGTGATTTTGAGAGGAAAATGTTTTTTCTTTTAAACATAACCTAACCAAACCTAATAGTGTCTTTGCGATAAACATCCAACATATTCTGAAAGAACTACGGTTTCGTTATAATTCGGTTTTCGGTGTAATGAAAGTTCGAACAAAGGTTATTTAGGAAAAAAATGCGAGTTTGTGATATGTTACCATAAAATACGTTTTTATATACACTATTAGGTAAGACCTGATTTTGAAATCAAATAATGTGTGAAAAAGTTTAAATATCAATGTATATGATTTATCTACGCGTAGTAAACCACTTAGGTACTAGATATGAAATTGTTTTTTCGAATCTAAATCGCGTTATTATGTATTGTTTTTTCAAACAAGCTAACGTTTCGGGGCCCTTTACAGGTCCCATGACGACGTCACTATCACTGTCAGCCGTCATACTTATACTAGACATAAAATATCTGTGTATCTTTCCATTTGTCACAGATAGGTTTATGTCTTTGCTAGTGCATTATATTGCATGATCATGCAAAGTACAATATTGGTGATAATGGCAATTTAAGTCTTATTTTTCTTTGATCAATTACACCGGTGATTTAACCAGACATATCGTCGGGGATAGTGCAGTTACGCGTAACTAGCATTTGACCATGAGTCTCCATTACGGTAATTTAGTGGCCAAATGAAATACGCGTAAATGTCGTGGCAACCAAATTAGCGTGATTTACGGAAATCTATTGTTCTCAGTCCGTAGACAACATAAATTAATGCTTATTGTGCTATTAAAATTTAAAGTAGTAGCCATTGAAATAACAAAGTAATAACGTTAAACCCCACTCCTGTGAAATTTGGTTACGTGCTTTTTACCAATACTACATACGCGGATTTGCACTATCTCCGACGGTATACTACTTATATTGTGTGATTCTTAGCTGGTAGTGCCCATTTCAGTTAAACAGTTATTAACCTTCCTACTTCTACGTAGGTCTTATTTCGCAATGAAGGCGACTCAAATCAAATTAGGAAGTTGCAGCTCATTTTCGTAACTTATACACGAATTTCATTTTGGTTTCACTTATTTTTTTATGACTGATAACACTACTACAGGTGCATAAAACGATAACCATCGGTTTATATACTTACGACTAAGAAAACAAAGTTCCAAACTCGTGACATCTTCTTATAGTAGTCGTAACAAATGTTGTAATGCTCACATGAATGCGTAGCGTTTGTGTTTAATTACAGATTTGTCCGTATTATCAGAAAGCTTGTACATTTATGATCAGTTACGTGTTTTCACCTAGTTGACGTGGTTTTTGCTCATATCTTCCGAGATAAATGCAGTAATTGAAGAATACTATTGTTCACATTCATAAATCGAGAGATGGTAATTATTGCAATGAAGTTTATTTTATCGATAACATCATAATTTTATCGATAGTTATAAATAATAGTGATAAAGTAAAACTTTAAAAATTAGCGCAATAGGAAGCTCTATATTCTCATTTCAGATTATGTAAATTTTAATTAAATATTATGGTAAGGTGTAGAACTGTATTTTTGCGAGCATATTTCGACCTTGTTGATTACTATTTCTCGATACTTTCATAAAACATGAAATGTTTTACGACTATTCGTCTACGTTACGTTATTAACGCTTGTCGTTCAAGTACAATTGCCAAAGGCTATATTTGTCCTCTTTGAGTATTATGAACAATGTAATGTTTCTAGTCTTACAAGTACGTAAAATTTAAGAAATTCCTCTATTTTGTAATATATAATTATATCGCATTAGTTTAATTAATTTAGGTATCATTATGCTTATTGAGATATTTAAGTCCTATGTACGATGATAAGATTATAGACAATTTTATTATTTGCTTTGTAAAATCCTCTGTCATATAAGAGAGAGCAATTACAGAGTTATATGCACTGTAATTAGAAATGATCCTGAAAACAGACATTACATTCTTACTTGTATGTTTTTAAACTACATTTGTTATACATCTAAAACATGTAGTGTAAAATAGCAAGTTACTAATTTATAATTTTGCAGGTGCTATGTGCAATATGGCGAATATACGCCCAAACGGAGGCGACGACAGAAGCTATATCGGAAACAACTGCGGGCATCGTTGACTATACAACTGAAAGAGATACCACTACTGAAAATATTGAAACTATTTCTACAACTGATAATTCTGATAGTATTACAGAAGAAGGTAAATCTACAACGGATAGTGGTACCACTTCTGAAACTACTACAACTGATAACTCTGATGCTACCACAGACGAAACTAAATCTACAACTGAAAGTAGTTCCACATCTGAAACTACTACAACTGATAGTTCTGATACTACCACAGAAGATGCTAAATCTACA